CACATTCCAAGACATCCAGTCCTCTACAGAAAGGGAGAAGAAGGTATTAAGTTTTGAAAGTTTCACAAGTTTAATCCAAATATTGTGAGCTTCAATGCAATCTCTCAAAATGTGAATAAAAGAGTTTGGAGAGTTACAACCAAAGGTGTAGATGCGTTGAGAATGGGCATTCCATTCGATATAATTGGAGTTGAATAGGATTCTATCCCAAGTAGCTTTCTGTAGGAAGTACTTAATTTTTTTCATTAGTAGGCCACTTCTAAATCTTAGACCAAATGTTGTCATTAGTTTAATCCTTTTGAGAGACCATGGCTTTGTAAGCAGATTTGATAGAGAAATTTTCATCTGAAAAAGGTCTCCAAACAAGTACATCACCACCACCACTAGGATTAGGTGGTTAAACCAGCGCAATTTGTCTTATCACCTCAGGATAGAGATGACAATTTAGAAGGTTAAAATTCCATCCTCCTGTGGGGTTGTGAAGATCATAAACTCTTTCATGGAGTGCTTAGCACTAGGAAAAGCATACTTAACAAGAGGTTTTGAAAGAGGGGACCACTTACTGTATCAAAATGAAATTTGGTCACCCTTACCAACTTTCCAACCAACGTGCACCATGAATTGATCCCAAACTTTACATATGCTATTCCAAGTGAATGAGGAGAAGCTAGGTTTATACACCATAAGAGTAGTGGCATTAAGACATTTATATTTGTCACGGAGGATCCTGACCCAAAGGTGATTAGGTTGAGTGATGAGACCCCAGTAAAGTTTTATGATAAAAGCAATATTTTGAAATTTAAGCTTTTTGATGCCAAGACTCTCATTAGATATCTTTAGGGTAACACAATTCCAAGAAAGAGGATGGGTTTTTTGTGTCCGTCATAAGAGTCCCAAAGAAAATTTCTAGAGTTTCTCTCAAGTTCAACCAAGACATTATTACGCAACAGCATGGTCTGCATAAATGGCCGAAAGGATAGAATTAATAAGGATGGCTTTGCCAGCAATGTTGCGGAAACGACTTCTCCAATTAAAAAGGTGAGAGAACGCTTTGTCAAGTAAAGGGGCAAAGGTAAGCTTGGATGTCCTTTCATGGATAAGAGGGATACCAAGGTATTTGCCAAGGTTTCCCGTGAAGGGAGTGCCTAATTCAGAACTGATCTAAGTAGCTCTATTGATATTAACATTTCTAGAACAATAGAGCTTCGACTTCTCGATGTTAACTTTTTGGTCCGAAGCATCACAAAAGTTAGAGAGGCATTGGTTGATAATCATGGCTTGGTTAATGGAAGCCTCTGTAAAGAAGAACAAATTACCAGCAAAAAATAAATGAGAAATAGAAGGCCTATTAGTAGTAAGTCTAATTGGCTTTTACTCATTTTTATCACTGAGAATGTAGTGATTAAGACGTTCAATACAAAGGATAAATAAATAAGAAAAAAGAGGGTCTCCTTGTCTAATATCACGAGAGGAAGTAAATTCTTCTGTAGGTTCGCCATTCCAAAGAACTCTCATATATGAAGTAGAAATGGTGACTTTGATTAATTTCCTAAGATGGTTATTCAGCTCAATGGAATAGAGTGTCATTGATGAAATCCAATGAAAGTCTATCAAAGACTTTTTCAAGATTAACCTTAAGATTTGTGAAACCTTTATTCCTGATTTTGTTCCTCATGGAGTGAATAATTTCTTGAGCAATAATGATATTATTATTGCTTTGCTGACCATGGATGAAATTGCATTGGGAATCTCCAATAAGATTGTTAGTATACTGACGTAAGCGATTGGAGAGGATCTTGGTGATAATTTTATGGGGAATGCAATGTTTCGAGACATACTAACAAGAAATAATGATACTCAAGGCGGGCAGCCTTAAACCTCTTCAAAATTTTATTTATAAATTTTATTATTGTTGTTAGTTTTATCTTAATCATTGATATTATTAATCTTAATTATATATTTATGTTAAAAATTATTGTCAACCCATATCAACGTTAATATTTACATATTACTGTCATATATAAGATGGAACGAGAGAACTTTGCTAACAACAATTCTCATTTCTGAGTCGAATTAAATTTGCTTTTTATTAAAAATTATTATATTACAAAACTTTAATAGTATATGATTTTGTAGTTCAAAAGGTTAGAAAAATGACATAAAATATATGATTTTTTTTTAAAGGAGCCATTACTATGCATAGGTTTAGTTAATAATTCTGCTTTATGCCTCAAAACTTCTTCATACGTCCCTGATTTGAAGATAATATATTCAAATACTTAAATTTTTGCAATGTTGTAAATAAAAGTTCTCCCAAAATCTGATGCATTCGTGATGGGCTAATTTCGTCCCCTCGAGAGACGATGGAGAAACGACGTAGTGGATGATTATTACAAGTCGAAGCTGTTTCTGGTTTGGAATCCGGTGGTTGAGAGATTCTTTTCAAAGATGGCTTGCTGTGGAATACCCATATAATTAAGAACATGAATAAAGTGAATGAATCCCTGCACATAGGGCTGGCCACCTTAAGCACAAATCCTTCATTGAAACAAAGTGTTGTTTACATTATAGCATCATTTAATTGTTCTTTCAGCGTAGCAAAAGAAAAATCTTACTCCAGCCACCAAAATCCAGCACCGCCATGCATCTAAGCTGCTCAATCTTCTCTTGTATTCTGCTGATAAAATGTACTCTTGTTTTGTCCCCTTATTTAATTTCTTCATCGATTGTTCACTCAAGACCTTGGTCGCAAGTCACAACTCGGTATCGGGTTGCTACGAGCATGGCGTTTTTGTACTGTCGCTATTCCTCATGCGCATCTGTAACCAGTGGAGGATGATAATGAGGAACAAAATGAACAATTGTCCCGCGAGTTTCATCTCTATGTCCATGCATAGCTTGAAGTTCATAAAAAATGACACGCTATTTATAACATCATGAATATGAATATTAAGATTCATCTCCGACTTTTGATACGACACGTGATCTCATCGTTTTACAACGGAAAGCAAGGGGGGCTTGGTCGCGACCAAAGAGGCTATCGTTGTTCACACCAGCTCACAATTTCAATAATCCATTCTCTGTTCATAATAATTGTCGTTCTGCCAACTGATACCCTCTTCGATGATCAATCCAATAATTGTCATAAAACGATGCCGTTACTTTTTAATGTGTCCCTGGGACGAAATTTGGAATTTTTTTTAATGAAATTAGGTAATTACTATGTTTTTCCATTTTATCTTTTTTTTATTTATTGTCACTTGGATTTATAAACAATGATTTATTACTGTCATTAATTACCAAAAAAGGTAAAATTAAAACTTATAATTCTTTTATAATTTCAAAATTGCAACTAATATTTTTTAATAAACATGAAATTTATTGATTCCATTTATCTTATATTAAAGAATAGAGCAAGGTTATTAAACTCGCAAGTTTAAGTAAACTTGTAATAGAAAAGTAAACTCACATACTAAATTTGTAAGAGTTTACCTTTAGTAACAAATAATAATTTAAAATATAATTGCATTTTAATTTAAATATATTAAAAATATAAATTATTAAAATTAAATCCATCTACATTGATAAAGTATCATATACAAAATATAAAAATTTTTAAATAGGGTAACTTATTTTAGGTATTTTGTTTTCTTTTTTATTAATATTAGTTTTTCCATTTTAAGTTTTTTTTCATTGAATCAAGTTCTATAATTTTTATAAACTGAATTTTTTATAGTATATACTTAACTCACTTGACTAAAAAAAATTAATGAGCTTAACAAGTTTAATCAAACTTATATTTAATATGAGTTTATGAATTATTTAACATAATTTTATAAGTTAGAAATATAAAAAACATAAACTCAAAGGTAAAATTACGAGTTAAATGAAATTGATATCTAATTCAAGTTTATGAATAAGTTGATACCACTTTATAAGTTAAAAATTAGTTTCTATTCTTATTTTTTGTTTTTAAAAACTGTTTTGTAATATATTTTTAAAATTTATTTTCAAAACAAAATAACATGAAAAGTTTTTTGATTATGTTAATTAAAAAATAATTTTAAAATTAAAAATGAACTGATAATGATGAATATAAACAGATAATAGTGGTAATTAATAATAAAAATTGATCAAGATAATTATATTTTTCAATAATCAAATGTAGTATATTTTAAAAATAAAAAAAAGATAAAATAAAAAACAACTTGCAATTGCTTCTATTTTTTATTTTTAAAAATAAAAAATAAAAACAGTTTTATAAACAATTAAATGAAAAATACGCATCTAAACAAATTTTAAATTTTTTCTGTTTTTAAAAACAAAAAATAATTTTTAAAAATTTAACAACTATGGAAAAAAGTATTTGTTTCTTTATTTTTTCCTGAATATAATACCTATAAATAATTACCGAACTCGGGAGACCGTCTTAAATTCCGTACATATATATAAGCATCATCGTCTAATGTTTTCAAATAGTACGTCTGTTTAAAAAACATTTGTTCAAAATTTATCATTTTGTGTCATATAATTCTTGATATAATTGTTCAGGTGAAAAATATTCTCAATAAATATAAAAAACTTAATGAATATATAATCTTTTTTTTTTTGCCAACGCAATAAATATAGATCTAAAAAAACTCTAATCATCTCAATAAATGTAGAATCCATGATTAATTTTTTAATTTTATGGCAATTTATTTGTTGCATTAAAATTTTAACGAAGAACGTGTTTAAAACGTGAGCTTTCATTTAGTGGAAAAAATAGGATTTGGAACGCTATTAAATTGTACAGGTAAAAAAAAAAATTAATTGAATTGAATGAAAATATTATTATTTTTTAAAGATATAAAAGAAAAATAACAATAATGAGAACGCGTGAAACGCTGACAAAGAATGCCAACCAGATCAATGCCAGCCGTAGATGAGTTCGGTTGAACAGCGTTTTTTATCTTCTTACCCAGATACTGCGTGATCGAACGGTAAGAAATGAAAACGCCGAGATAAATTTGATAGAGCCGGAGCGGATTTTTCATTCTTCCAATCATATCACATATCCCCCCACCCAGAACGATTTTCGTCCTCCTCCTCCAACCCTGCAACAATTTAGATCCCAGCTTCAACTATCCACTTTCTCGTTTTTCTGGCATATTTACGTGTTGGCGGTTGACATCCTTACCGAGACGGAGAAAAGGCATATGTTAAACCGTGTTATCCTGTTTGCAAAATTAGGGTTTTGAGACTTCCGTTTTGTCATGGGTTTTGGAATCGATGACGATGTTGTGGTTGATGACGGTGACGGGGATGCCGGCGCTGGAGGCAAGTCCTTTGGTTCAGTGTCTTGTTCAATCTGCCTCGAGGTTGTTGCCGATAATGGAGATAGATCGTGGGCCAAGCTTCAATGCGGGCATCAATTTCATCTGGGTAAGTGAATTTATGATGGAGTTGGGAATTATTTTATTTCACTTTGTTTGGATTCATGGAATTTGAGCCGTCAATAAGTATGCAATAGGATTAGGAATTGTCTTTTTTACTTGTTCAATAAGAATGGCATCATAGGACAAATGGGGAACTATCAATGTGCCAATCGGAAATATTTGGACTGGAGTTTTTGAAATCTAGTTTCAGTTTTTATCATGGATGAAGGGATAAAAAATAAAAATATCAGCTAAGCATGACAGTTGTTGTTTGCTGATATGCTCACTGGCCCTTGTTGGATTTAGGATTTCTCATTAAATAAAAAGGCCTACATGACATTTGTTTTTTTTTTTAATTTTTGGTACCTCTTAGCCAAGCATAACATTTGTATGACATTGTTATGCTATTTGTTGTACATGTCACTTGATGTCATGATGGATTGTCTCTTCATGTCAAAGTCAACTTTAGAATGGATTATACACATCCATGTCGGATTTCAAGGTTTAAACTTCAATGCTGTCAGCATGAATTCATATATGGGCATGTTATTTGGAAATAATCTGGGTCTTGTTAGATTGAGTCGATCAGATTTTAAAATTTAAATGTTGAACTGAGTTTCTAAATTCATTTATTTTCTTCACCCAACATATGCAATTGACTTCTGTTTCTAAATTCATTTATTATCCAACTTGACAAGATTGGGGAACAAGTGGTCATGAGTAAACAGTGAGTAGGAAACCTAAGGAGAATTTCTGGGATAAAAAAGATTAGGAATGATGTCCCATTATTGACATGAGATATAGTCCATAATAGAGCAGCAGAAAACAAAGTGCAAGATGCATGTTTTTCCCACTAGACCTAAGAATTATTAGTATTTTGTTGTGCGGACATTAAATAAAGAACTCAGAAAATCAATGGATCCATGATTCTATTTTTTAAAAATTGGCCCTTCTCATTCTCTATCGGTGATGGATTTCAAGTGCTGTGCCTGATAGTTCTTATGAGAATTATATTCGATGTCAAAGTGATGTTGATGTTGGGGAGAAGGGAAAAGAGGGGGAGGGAGAAGGAGAAGTAGAGAAATTGGGGAAGAGTGCGACAACAAAATACTCTCAATAAAATTCAATAAACAATAAGGCATGACAAGTGAGAAATTCTAGGGCTATTTGTGGCGCCTTAAATGGAAATAATAGAATAATAGTAATTCAAACTAATTTAAAATCAAAAGAGACGAGATAAAGCCTAATTCAAAATTAGCTTAAGAAAACCCAACAATAAAATAATTACCAATGCATGAAATGAATTCAAGAAAACCTAGCAATGATGGTGCTGCTTGTTGAATGGACTGGAGTCAGAAAAGTGCAAGAAAATTCTAAATAAAATGAAAGTCTGGGTGTTGGAGCATGTAGGCACTTGTGGTGTGTGAAAGCCACCTATAAGGAGCTCTTTTGGCATGTTGTGTGCAGGTGGTGCCAACAGCAGAACTTTTGGTTCTGGCAAAGTTTGAGGCAGCATTCTTGGTGGAGTTGGCTGTTGGTTGATTTGATGGCTGGGAAGGGAACTATGGCATATGGTCTGACAGACTTGAATTCTAATATTAAGTGAGCCAAATGGGGAGAAGAGGGGGAGGGGGGAGAGAGAATAAGGCTTGTTTAGTATGCTTGAATGTTTATTGATGGAATGGCAATAGGAAAGGTAATGGGAAAGAGAGCAGAAAAGAGAATGGAACAAGGTTTTAAATTATGCTTGCTGTGGCAGAAAAAATTAATGGAATGCTGAGATGGTTTTTGTTTGGTATGCAAAAAGAATGGTTTTTGTCTGAATAATGGAATGGAGGTTTTAAAATGCAGAAAGACATTACTATGCCAGTTTTATCTTTCTCTCTTCCCTCTTCTTCTTCCTGATGATGCTCTGCAACATTGTCATTAATCATCTACATCCCTATTCTGCTTCTGCTCAGTCATTCTTCTTTCCCACAATTTTTTCTCGATTTAATGATTTCATAATTTCAAAAAACAAAAAACAAAAAAATTAAAAGAAAAAAGATCTGGTTATTATTGCCAGGGACGCCATGTGATAAAATGAACCAGTTGGGCATAGACCAATGATTCCTTATTTCCTTTTATAAGAAAACTTATGGCTTATCAAATTTGGTCACGTAGAGAAGCTTCTCAAAATTAAAATCCAAAAGAAATGCAACGTTCCTCTTTGCACCAAAATCTGACCCATCAACAAGGCCTTCATGACCCAAAATCTGAATCATTTGTGATGCCTTGACTTTTTTGCTGATCTTCGCAACATTCCTGCTTGCACTATCACTAACGTTCAGTGTTCAACCACTGTCAGCCAACCAACCTCTAATGGTTCACGAATCTGACGGGTTTTGAACTTGCAATCCTTCATCTAAGCACTGCAATATAACTGTTAGAAAGCATCAAAGAACTGATATATAACGAGATTGCGTGTAATTTCTTATAATTGAATTTCTGACATGATAATAATACCTGCATCATATTCTTATGCTAATGATGATATGCTCTGAACCTTTCAGATTGCATTGGTTCAGCGTTCAATATTAAAGGGGCAATGCAATGTCCGAATTGTCGGAAGATTGAGAAAGGCCAGTGGCTTTATGCTAATGGCTCTCGGTCATTTCCAGAATTAAGCATGGATGATTGGGCACATGATGAGGACCTTTATGATCTTAGCTACTCTGAAATGGTAGTAGTCTCTATCTTCTTCATCATTGATTCTTATTAGTGTTATTGGTACTATTTTTTTCCCTTGTTGTATTTTATGCTTGCAAAAGAAACTTCACCAACATTATTTTTTCTTCAAGTTCCATTTCTTGGTGAATCATGCTGATGGCATTTGTTTTCCATGTGCTGTTATGAAAATAGCATTACATATATGATTTTTTTTTTCTCTGTGTTTTTTCATTTTGTGTATTTTAATTTTTCTCTCCATGTGCCTACTCTTCCAGAATTGATAAAAACACTGCCTTTCTAATTGTTGGCTAATGTTTCTCTCTTAAACAACCTATATGCGTTCTTTCTCATCTCTGTCCATTAACTTCGTTTGTCTTGTAACGACCTCACTAGTACAGATTATGCTGCTGATTTGTAAAATAATTTTAAATTCTTTCAAAAAATTTGTATTTTTGTAAAGAAAATGACAGAACGTACATATGTTCTCTTGGCACTGTCAAAAAGTTACACCATGTTTCTTTTCCGTTTTTTGTTTTGTCTTCTTAAACATGAGTACATGATTGTTGAAATGATAATGTTTACTTGTATGTGTGTGGACTATCTTCTACTTATCATTTTGACTTATATTGATTTTTTATCATTTTGACTTATATTGATTTTTTTTTTTTTTTTTGCAGTCTTTGGGATTTCATTGGTGTCCGTTTGGTAGCCTAGCCCGACTTCCTCCATCTTTTGAGTAAGCCTAGTATCATGTCATAATATGATCACAAACAAATATGTATTAAGTTTGTAGACTAAAAAATTGTAGACTAAGATCTGTGTCTTTGAATTCTTTTTTTTTTGGGTAGTTGCCCGGGCCTCCTTTTTCTTAAGTATGATTTTGAATCGTGATTTTGAAGCTAGCATCATTGATGGAAATATATGAGGCAGTTCTTTTGAAGCTGCATAAAGTATTGCTGTCTTGAGATTTTAATTGGGAAAAAAGTTTTAACTTAAACTCTCCACCTTTCAAGGATGCCTAAATTACACAGCTCCCTGATATGGAAGAATCAGTTCTGGTTATATTTGGCAGTGTTTTATGGTAGCTTTGCGATAATTAGATTTAGATATGCATTCTATGATGTTGTATAAAAATCAAGATGACCTTTTGCATTGTCCAATTTTTTTTTTTTTCTGGGTTTATTGCTTTCAGTTTTATGGATATCCTTCCTTGTGTTCCTTTAAAAAGGGTGGGGAGGGGGGATAAAATACAGCACTAAAATCCTTGTTTCTAGGAAATGATTAGCTGCTTTTCAACTCTCTTTAATATTGTGATCGTTTTTCCAGGGAAGGGGAATTTTCATCATCTGCATGTAAGATCCTTTTTCCTGTGTATCGGCATCTCCTTTTAGTTGTAGTTGTAGCTTGCATTTGACTGAATATGCTATCTTGACTGGAATGGTGGGATGCAGATCATGATATAGGGGGACAACATGCCATATTCGCCGAACATACAGCATCTGCTAGTCATCCCTGTCCATTTATTGCGTACATTGGACCAATACATCCGTCTTCGTCCAACTCTGCAGGAACGGTTTCAGATGCTTCTTCTAGCTTTACCAACCCCTGGAATGGCCCATCTTTGCCCAATGACATGCCAGCTTCCTACACTTTTCCTGCTGTGGATCTCCATTATCACAGTTGGGAACACCATTCATCGCCTTTCTCTACAGCCAGCAGTGGTCCGGGTACTGCTGATCAGCCATCCATATCGCCTGCCAGTCAAAGGCCAGCCAGGGGTGGTTTGGATACTCCAAGATCAGGATCTTTTATGCATCCTTTTCTTGTTGGGCACAGGTACCTCATTCGTGATTAGAAATAAAAGATATGCTCAAATGTGACTTGATATGCTCATGTTCAGTTTTGTAGCCTCTCGTAAGTAATTGGTACACGCACAAAACAAATTCTGGGCCCATAGACATCTGATGCGTGTAAATTTCTGCAGTTCCGCTGCTGCTTCGTCAATGATCCCCCCTTATCCAGGAAGCAATGCTCGGGCACGTGACAGGGTCCAAGCTCTTCAGGCGTACTATCAACAGCACCAACCTAGTAATTCAGTCATGCGGACGCCTATTGCCTCGGGAACCCGAAGATCTAGCAGTCATAGAGGATCAGCACAGCTAGGACCGGTGGCCTCATCACCAGACCAAGGAGGCGGCTTCTTTCTCGTTCCTTCAACAGGACGCAGTTTTCAAGAAGAAAACCATCTACCAAGTCGCTTCCGTGCATGGGAAAGAGATCCCTTGACTTCCTTGTCGTCAAACCATGTTGATAGAGAGTCCGGTTGGGTAGCGTACCACCAGCCTCATGGCGGGTCAGACCCAAGTGTGAGATCATTAGGATTTCGATTAAGACACGGGTCAGAGCGAGTGCCTTCGCAAAATCGGTGACATGCGTGTTGCCCTGCGAAGAAAACTTTCACTGCTAGGGAATATCAAAATTTTATATATGCTTGAGAAATGTTTTAAGTGATGATTCGGCCTTGCAGACTACAGACTCTGGGTGGCCTGGAATTCACCTGGCTGACAGGTGGCAGTGTGATTGAGGGACATTAACTTGCTTTGGTTTCTTATCCTCCGGGGGGATAAAATAAGATGATATCTTATTGGAGAAATCAGGCGTTGAGATGACACGTTACGTCAACTGGAGGAGGGCAGCTGCCGCTGGACTGTAATGACTGACGTTCGTGCTAATGCTCGTTGTATTGAGAATTCAAGTACTGGGTCTTTGCATCTCGTGGTGAGGCTGATTGTTGAGATTTGTGCAAGAACTGGTCCACCGTATGGAAATTGCATGACAGCTCGATTTCGCTTGCATGATGATGTTCGAGTTCTGAGCTTGGTTAAAAGAATTTATTCCTCGGATTTAGTGTGAAATATGATCGAGGATAAACAGTTCTTATCGTGATCATGATACCATGGAATCTTGTGAAAATGGTTATTCATTTAAAATGGGTAAGTAACCGTTGTAACGGAAGAGAGCTTGAACATAATTAAAATTAGAATGTCTAGGAAAAGGTCGTTCTTTGAAACTGCTCTCTACTCTAGCTTTGGGCCCCACGTCTTTCATCATTGCCTTTAAATTTAATTCGGGACTTCATTTTAGCCACTTTTTTATTTGAAAAAAAGAATTGCAATCTTTCTGGTTATTATGATTTTATTTTTATTGTAACTGTAGAAAAAATTGTCTAAACAACTCATTTTATTATAACTAGTTCAAAAATGATTCATAATCTTAAGAAAAAAAAAAGTAATTTTGATTGCCAAATGTCATCGCCAGCGGAACAATAATAAAATAAATTCAGACGTGTGCCTTTGTTGTAATATTAAATCATAAAGCATTCATTTGAGAAATTTAGCAAGAAGGAAACAAATTATACCACAAAATTTATCCTTGTCTCAGGAAATGGTGGCATAATATGACATCATGCCAAAAACTGACTAAGAAATGCTGGATTGACCATTAAGACTAACCAAAGAACACCAGGCACATGGGCACATGACAAACTAGTTAGCGAGAACCAAGAAGAGATTATTATAACCATACAGATAATTTAGTTCTGGTTCATAATGTACCATCTGCCCCTTTTATTCATAACTCAGCCAACACCATTAGGAGCTACATACGAACCTTGCACGTCCTAAAATGCCAGCAAAAAAAAGCACTCATCTCTCAATAGCGATATGCAGAGTCAACAGAGCTGCCGCGGTCAGGCCTCACCTGCCAATCAATCATCCAGAACGTCAAGGAACACAAAATACTACTTTCGAGATAAGAAATTCATAATCAACTCCAGAAATGACCTTTAAGAATAATGAACATACCGAAGGTGAACGGGATCGCAACAAGCTTTTATGGCGAGGACTGTAACTTCTATAAGGTGAAGGCTGCTTAGTGCACAAAGAACAGTACCGTACAATTATGTTATGGAATGAATCCATGTTCATATAAAATACCGTTTGTATTCAAACCCTCTTTTGGCTGGCGTGTTCCATTATCCTATTATCTACTTAGTTCTTCTATGGCAAACAAAATGCAGAGGGCAAAGATTAAGCAAATGTGAAGAGAAAATTAGACAACCACGTATTTTCGTTCCTTTTGTCCCCACCTTTAAATAATCTCAGGTACTGCAAGTTGGATAATACTTACAGATGAATTTGGAGATCTGGATCTTGAGTGGGATCTGCAAATTTATGAAGAAACAACCCAATCAAATATCCATAATGATCCATCAAAATGCTTGACTCACAAGCCCAATATCAGTTTCACACCAAAGTTGCCACAAGCCGACAACCCAAAGGAAGAAACAAATCTACCACAAGTCTAACGCAGCTGCCAAGTGGAAAATTAATAGGACTCAGTATCTCATTCGAAGTCTGAATTAAATCTATTCCTGGCTGCGTAGGATTCTTGGACAAGCTGCGGGGATGCTAAATCCAAGACATTACATCATCACAAAGTAAAATCCTAAAGGAAGTGTCCAGTTCAGCTCCAGAACTTAGAGCATATGTTATATTGAAGTAGTTTCGGGAATGTAATATTTCAGATAAGCAATAGTCAGTGCCAATTCCGCTTAGCTCAGGATAATCCAGCTTTTAGATTCCAACTCACCCATATACAGCCATCCGGTCTACAACATCAGCAGACCATGAATAACATCAATAAATCTTGTTATCAATTGTCAGAGCATTAAGTTGTTCCACAGGCGCTCATCAATAAAACTGTGTTACCTCAATCACTAAGCTGCAGGCATTTGAGCACCACATGCCATCAAGATCCTAACAGGCAGTCCAGAGGTTATGCAAAATGCCACATTTAGATAACAAAAGTCAACCTAGGGAACATTATACAATTAGCGGCAAACCAGATGAACCAGTTTACAATTCCCTCTCCACCTTCCAAAATATGAAGAATTATGCTGACAAGTATATGGAGCAGCATAAGGTTTTATGAGAACAGAGTGAATGTTGTAATAAAGTTTTTCGTATCATGCTGGAAAATCAATTTTATACTCCACTAACGCACAAACGAAATGAGAGGCCCAGTCAACTACAACTGACCAAAAAAGGTATGTAATGAATATAAAGGTGAAGGCAAATATTGAAGCACAGTCAATCTCGAAAAAGAATCCGTACGTAATATAATATAGACCGATAAAGCAGAGTTAAAGGTCTTTTCTGATAACTAAAATCATGGAAAAACATTCCTATGCTTATAACACGCGAAGATACTTAGCTATTCCAGTCGAGGTTAAAAATCATGGAAGACCCAGCTGGCAGGAATCCTAATGAATCAGGGAAAATTTGCCAAGGATTGAGAAATTTTATGGAAGTCGGACTATCTATACATGTATGATTTGCACAAGAAATCGGCTAACTCCTCTAATTTCGCATCATAACTAAACAAAAGTGAAGGGGAAACTTATCAAAGAGCTCAAACTGCAGTTCTGCCTATCAAAACACTGATAAAATTTAATTAAAAATACAGTCAAGAAAGATAACAGATTTGGCGCCAAGGGATTTTATAATAAGAACACCCATCATGTAAATGTATAATCACCTTAGAAACTTAAATTAGAAAAACAAGTGCACAGAAAAGGAGGCAGAGAAGAAACTTGCCTTGAAAGAGATATTGAACGTCTTGAAAGTTTTACCTTTGGTGACAAACTGCAACATATGAAGGCCAATTGATTCTTCAATTCGTAATTACAACAGACACAATCACACAAAATCATACTTAAACAGCGCAGCAAATTAACCTTCTGCTGCTGCCTCTATAGCAGTGATCCCGACTCAAACTGCGGCTTCGACTTCGTGACCTATAAGGACTGCGGCTATAGCTTCGAGAATAGCTTCTCCTTGAATCACGGCTGAGACTCCTAGAATAACTCCGTCGATCATATTCCCTCACCTAGATCAATAACCAACCAGAGAAACAAATGATTAAACATACAATCACACAAGTAGGAACCAGAATGAAGCTAAAATGCAAATCATTAAATACCCGTATGTATGCACGAGAAAATGCATTTCGGAATTCTGAGTCATCAAGTTTCCTGATCTGTGAAAGAAGGCAATACAAATATTACCGGTAAGTATAGATGGTGGTCATCTTAAAAATCCAGCTCAAGGGGACCAAGCAATTAAAAGATGAGACCAAAATACTCACAGCATACTTCATATCATCATAGTTAGTATAATCCACGATCCCAGTCATGCCTACATAAGCATTGAATTTAACAGAAAAAATCATGCTTTGAAAAGTTCAACAAAAAAATTATAGAATATTTCTGTGAGTTGCAGAGAATAAAATACAAGTATGTTCTCCAAAAATTACAGTGCCCTACAATAAAGTCATCTACCTACAGCCTTATATCATTAACTTATTCAAAATTAACAAAAAGTAGAACTTTCAGAAAGACACTTCACTTAGGATATATTTATTCTTTTGCTTGCTTCGCTGCTTCAGCATCAAGCAAATTCCATCCAAATATATATCTCAACTCTCAACCATTTCTCACCAAGTCCAGAATGTGATAAGGCACGTTAGGTTTTATTCTACTTACCACCACGCTCACGAAAGACTTCAGAGAAGCATACATCACCAGCTTTGCGCATGTGATCCTAGTCATTGAACACTCAGAATCAGTGTAGATTACACATTAATTATCATCCAACTCTATGACGTCGCAATAAATATCATCAACCTCTTCCATGCAATTAATGTGATACGGTCAGACAATCTTAAGAAGAATGAACCATCCATACCTTCAGGTCTTGCCATGAAGCTGATGGGGGTAATCCAGTGACCAGAACTGCAAATTGAACAAAATAAATAACGCATCAAAAGCATTTTTCACCGTTGGAAATAAATCGACAATAAAAATGAAAATAAAATTAAACTAATATATAGAACTGCAAAAGCTTATATCAAGTAAAAATTCATACCACGATAGTCTGAACGCTTAGAAACGGCACGGCTACTACCACCACTGCTATAACTACTATAATGGTCAACCGATGATGAATATCCCCGCCCGCCATGTGCAAATTCAACCTATGAGTGGCGGAGAAACAGGCGTTCAAAAGGACGTTAGATACTGTGACAAAAACCAGAAAAAGTAGAAAGTGATAAAAGTAATTGTACTAACACGCAATCGGAAACCATCAAATTTATAACCATCTCGATAGCGAATAGCATCTTCAGCATCACGACGATTCTCAAACTGCGAAATATCATGTTCAAAACAGAAAAGATGGAAAGAAAAAAGTGAGAAATGTGAGAGAAATATCCCATGTCCTTATATCATAAAATCTGGGAAATACCTTCACAAAAGCATAACCAGGAGGTCTCGGAGGGATTTTCAAATCAATGTCAACAATAGGACCATACTGAGATCAGGAAGTGAAGACAGAAGTTAGTGAACGGATACAATGCAAATCTAGATCTACAACCATAATCGAAAGAACCAAAAAAAAAAAAATTATACCAACAAGAAAACATACTAACGAATAATTATATACTTTTTTTCCAGCCTTATGGCATGGCTTATAAGCTAAGGTGACATTTTATGTGCATGGAACGAACGTTTTTTTTTTTTTTTAAATGAAAAATATATAGCAAGGCATCTTTGGGAAAAGTATGTCAGCTAGAAGTACACTGTATAAAGCAATAGTTCAAGATTATAAGTTTCAGCAAAGATCAAAATAATAAATTATAAATATTTGTACCTTGTAGAAAAGATCCTCAACTTCTCTCAATCGAATATCACCAGGAAGATTTCCAACATAAATAGTGCGACTTGACAGGCTACTCATTTTTTTTTCCCTGAAAAACAATTAAAATCATAAAATTGCATATTTCCACCCCAAACTAAGTATAATTAACAAAGAAGTTTGTCTATATAGATTCTTATGATAGTTAGATGATTATCAAAACCTCCCCACTCGCAAAAGAAAGAAGAATCCGTGACTATTTCAAAATGTGTATATGATTTCAACAAACAGACAAAAGAAAATATACCAAATAGGAGAGTACTGGAGGGCGAGATGGTTAGCAAGGGAGCGCATACCTGACCAGAAAATTTGAGATGCAGAATCGGGCTGGGTAAGGATTGATCAGATAGGTGCGGGTGTTGGTAATTGGTGCTTCAGAAGTGAAATAGGAGAGATTAGAGAATCCGGGAGCTCGTTAACTTGGAGGAGTTGGTTTTCTGCATGGGCGCTTCTGGAAGCTGGAGAACAAGGGAAAGCTCATCTGCCAGTTATAAATTGAGACGTTTGTCAAGGTTCCAATGACGTGGTTACACGTACACGCTCTTCCAGTGAGATCAAGTGTGGGCCGTCCAAACATTCCCCGGTCCAATACTGTTGCCCGCATTTACTCAAAAGAACAGTATTCTCGGCCCAAAAGCGAAACTCTACAGACTTCTTAGGATTATTACCTTCCATGCAAATATTATTATTTTGTTTTTTTTACCAGCTAATATTATTATTTTTGCTAGTAAATCTATTTTTTATGTATAAGAGGAAAAAATAAAAACTAAAATATTATCCTCAAAAAAAGAGATATTATCCTCGAGCACTTTGTACAAGCTAAAATGACGCTGTCTAAAAGAACATAGCCAAAGTATGGATTAAGATTATAATTTCCATTTTCTTTTTAATTGGAATTGATTTTTTATCTTCTATATCATTTTTTTATGAATATTAGAAGATTTTTTTATGTCCATATCTTTAGATTTTTCAATATCCTTCACTTATCATAATATCTTTAAGTTATTATTATTTTATATATTTAATTTAATTTAATTGATATATTTGTGTTTATAAATATAAGGTATCTCAATTATATTTAACACACCCAAATAAGAAAGATCTTAATTCTCTCATACTCTTATTCTTTCCTTATAATTTTATCTCCTCTCCTCCTCTCAATCTCTATTTTCATAACATGTTATTAGCACGACTTATAATTACTGTATTAGAGATTAATGTTCATGTCAATGAACATCTCTAATAGAAATGGAGGTATGATTAGTTGAATATTAAGCAAATCTTTATCTTTTGTGAACTTTTGTTATTTTATATGTTATTTATTTTTGTTGAATTATTTTCATCCTCCCTCAATTAATTATTGTGTGCATCCAGAAGTATAAGGCATGATTTAATTTTAGAACAATGAATTATGAGGTTATCAACACATAACATATGGTGGTATTTGAAATTATTCACATTTAATATAGAGTGAATCTTGAATTTATTCATATACAAAATATAACATAGATCCCGAATATGTTCACATACAATATAAGGTGGATTTCAAGATTATTTGTAAAGTAAATCCTAAGTTATTTGCATTCAAAATACCTATTGGATCCTAAAATTATTCATATAAAATATAAATATTCATAGAAGATATATATTCAATTATTTTTTTTATCTATTTGTTTGTTTATTCTACATTCAATTACTTATTTTTAATTCATTGTTTATATATATAACTTGTTTGGCTACATAAATAATTTTTAGAAAAGTGAATGTTGAAGTCATGCACAAATAACAAAAAATAAATTCTAAAGTTATCCATATAAAATATAAAATGAATCTTAAAGTTATTCATATAAAATATAAAGTACATAGTAAAAATTATGTACACATAATAAAATATAGATTTTTGTGGATATTGAAGCTATTCATATGAAATATAAAATAGGTTCAAAATTTACCTATATTTAAATTATTTATTATTTTATTTAAATTATTTTATAATTGATAATATTAACTATTCTACATGTGGACTTGTTTACTTCATTTTTTTTAGTCATATCTCAATTTTCTATTTTTAGTAATATAATAATATGTAGTTACCAATGTTAATCATATGTAGGGTTAAGGGTCATTTTTATTTCTAAACTGTATACAAAAGTTTACAAATGATCATAAATTTAACTAAAGGTCAATTTTATCCTTCAACCTTAGAATTTTTATTTCTCCATACCCCTAGCTTTAATTATCCATTATTGAGGTCCACATGAATTTTTTAAATATTTTTAATAATAAAATATAATAATGGGACTTACTTTATATCTTTCTTACCTCACCTCACTCCTCTCTCCTTCTCCCCTCTCTCCTCGTGTCCCTTTCCTTCCCCTCTCTCTCTCTCCCCCTTCCCTACTCTCTCTCTTTATAACTTATCCAAGTAAACAGCCCAAGATGGTCGTAAATGGTGTAATGTAGAACTTATCAAAGATGACTCAACTACTACCTCTATAATTTGATAAAAAGAGAAGAGAATGTTTAGAGAAGGGTGCCATGGCGAAGAGCCATTCTTAATGGTAAGAGGTCTAAAGGATGTATGTAATATCCCCCTCACTAAACACAATCACACAAACAAAGGTAATCATAGGTTAAGCTCCTTTTTAGATTACCAAGTTTAAATTTTATAAAAATGGGATCTCAAGTTTTTATAAATCAATTTCACTAAAACATCACTTAATAAATCTCACATCAGAGTAAAATAATATTTCAAAAGCATGAGATACCTCAGAGGAATGAAAAAATTTAGAAACATTTGAAAAACATTAAGTCATGAAAAACAAGGCAGTGCGTCGCAGCATGTACACAAGCACCATGATCTGCGGTGTGTTGCATGCATCAAACGGCAATTTTGTTGTCATTTGATAGCAACCTGAGGCAACTTCTGACATGCCTCATTTTCCCATCTAATATCCAAATGAGGTAATTTAAGTGTCTACAAAAAGATCTTTTCCTAACCTAGCCAATGACATAAGTTTTACTTTTAAATTATGTCACACAAAGAAGATGAATACTCAAACACATTTTTAAATTATTTTCACAACTAAAAGGTGTCTAAAACCCTATAAATATGTCAAAAACCATTCCTAACACCCAAACCATTATCAATGGACCTAAGACTACCTGTACAATACACTGCACACACATAATTCTAATCATATCAAATTTTCACTCATCAACCCTTTTAATACCAAAAATAGAGGAGGAGCTCTTAGCATTGCATTTACTCATAAATATTCATAGACATGGTCAAATTAAATTTTTCACACTTATACCAATATTTTGACCCTATAAATACTTTAACATGTTATATACAACATTTCAATGCCCAAAATACATATCTAATTCATTAACAATAGTATAAATAAAATGCATCATAATTGGCAATATATTATCTATTACACAAAACAAATCTAGGTAAAGGGTTTATAGTAAGAATCACAGGTTCCTAAGCCTCTAGAGCTTTTGTTTTCCGCACCAAAGCTAGAGCATGTAAAATATTGAAGGAGATGGGTGAGTCTAGTTACTCAATAATCAAGGTACACATATCCTATGTAGTTATATATCAATTGATTTAAACACATAAAAGGGAGTAGATTACTCAAAATATGAGATTATACATAATACAAGTTGTAATTTTACAATAGACTCATTTTTATATCTCTCATTTCAAAACACCGAGTACATTACTACAATACACTCAAACATATGACAATGACCTAACTCATCAACTCAATGCACAATGTCACAACACAGACAATAATGCGATAATGGCATATTCACTTTTATGACTTACCATAAACTTAACAGCCATATGACAAGTCGAATATATATATACATATATGCATGATCAATTCCTCTTTATACCCTCCTTATTTCCTTCGGCTAAAATTGTGGGTTATAAGCAAAATCAAGGTTTCGTTCATGTGACTGGACTACTTAAGCTCACCAATTGTGAGGTATGACCTAGCCAAATATCACAATACTCACTCTCAGACCACGACTTCCCTCAGTCTCGAATATCTAGAGTGTCATATACCCTAAGCCAATATCCTCAACAAACAGTAGGACAAGCTTGGCTTTCGTGCACTGAAAGGCAGCCATAAATACCATATAAATTTTATCTACTCCATTCTCTAGACGAGCTCCCATCAAATCATCATATTATGTTTGCATTTACTCATTTCACAATTTAATCTACTTAACATCACACGTTGGGCTTATGGTATCATGCCACCCAAGTGAGTATCAACATCATCACAATCATTATCCACTTCAATTCTTAATTTCATAAAATGCTTTAATTTCTCATTTAGCCACATATATAGTACTCACATGTCAATACAACCATATGATCATCACATCTCATGTCACACGCTTCTCATTTCAATTACATGTCATAATTTGCAAATTATTTTAAGTTTCATCTCCACATTTAAATCAAGTTAAGGATTACTACACTACCATATGGTTTACGGCATGCTTTCATATTTACAAATTCAATTGTGCATGCAAATAAACTCATTTTACATTATAATATAATTTACAAACAACTATCTAAGATAGGTTTTCCTCGATTATCTCAAACCTTTAAGAGGTTAAAGGTTTACCCCTTAATGACTTGCTTCCAAGCTTGCTTTCCCAAGCCAAATATGGTGCCCGGATGATTACTATATAATTAATCAAGTCCAAATTCATCAATATTGTTAAACACATGCTCCTGACTCTAATTTTCCAATTTCCAAAACACTTAAAGCCTTCATTTCTAACAATTAGGCTTGCCCATTAAGTATTTTAACTCTCTATCAATCCTCAACTAACCATTAAACTCTTCTTAAGTCATTAATGTCAACCAATAACCCTAAACATTCAAAATCAATGCCTTAATTTTGAACATTAATAAAGCTTACCAACCAAAAACTTATAAAATAATCAATACTAGATTTAGACACCCTAAATAACTCTCATTAATTCCATTTAAGTTAAAAGGTATAGATTCATAACTCATATGGACCAAAAATCATCTCCCATTAATAAACCCTAACCAAAAGCTTGAGAACATAAGTTTGAAAGGGAAAGAATAAGCTAGGAGGCTTACCCTTGGGGTTTAGTAGCTTAAAAAGACCTCCAATCCTTTTAAGAATGAAGCTCTAGTAGATCTCTCTTCGTCTTCTTCATTTCCTTTATCTCTTCTCTCTATTTTTCATATTAGTTCGCATCTTATTTTTGCAAAAAGTGTACCATACACTATGGCACCTATATCACACACCGCGGTATATGATGTAAAGAGGGATCTTTATATTCTAATTGGCTTATGCATAGCAGCATGTCGTGCACACACCGCAGCATGTGGCACAGAGCTATTTCTCCTTATTTTTCTCACTTTTTCATGGCTGGGTGACTTGACTTCACTCCGGACTCAAT